TCGTGAAACTGCGAGCCGAAGACAATTTATTTACAACGTCGAACGCTCCGCAACGCTGGAAAGCAGATACGGATCTCGTTAGACCCGCCGATGTTTACTCTATCGAATTTTTGAAGACAAAAACTCCCGCGAAAACGCTGCGAGTTGCTTGAATCGTCTGCCGATACCGCGGGCACTGTAAACGATTTTGATCATATTGGTCGCATAGTTTAACCATCGACAGTATTGCCGAAACGCTGAGAAAAGGTTAGATCGACAATTTAAACGGTATCATAGTTTGCTGAGGTTAACTATAGATTTCAGTTTTCACGAATTTTCTCGCGATTTTCGACGCTAAGTGTAGGCATTACTGCGGACGCCCCGAATACTGCGGAATTTTATCAAAGTAATAAAATCTGGCATTTTATTTAGCGTGTAGTCTTCCAGAAACAAATCTTATAATTTTTTATATAATTTTTATAATTTTATAATAATTTATATAATTTTTTGCGCGGGAGCTTCGAAGTCGCGAAATATTTTTCGAAGCGATCCCCCCTCCGCACCCCGCAGTTTCATCCAGCCGCGAGAATCGAATCGAGAATCGAGCGTCCCGAGGATGGTCGAAGCCCCGAATTTACTTATAATAACTTCCCCGTCCCCCGCGCGGCCCGTATTTTTCGGCGGCGCGGCGGCCGAGCCGCGCGCTCATAATTCCGAGCCCCGGCTTTTGTCGTCCCCCTTTTCTCATCTTCCTCTCTCGCTGTTTCACGTCAACGGGAACAATGGCCGAGTCGAAAGACGACCGGGATCCAGGGGGCGAAAGAAATATGGCGCGAGACGAATTCGTCGGAGGCGAAACTTTCGAAATCATTCCTTCTTTACTTTTTTCTCCTTTTTTTACGCCGCTCGTTCCGCTCCGCGCCGCGTTTCCGCGTCTCGCTCTGTTTCGCGACCGCCGCGAAATAATTCCCGAGCGTGTTCCAGTTCTCGTGATTTTTTATAAATAATTTGCCGGAGCGCGGGCCGCCGTTTTTCTCCGCGAAAACTGACGGCGTTCGAAACACGTGATCGGATCATTCGGGCGCGATGATGTAATTTCGAAACGATACGACGCCGTGTATAATTCACGGTTTTTTTAATGAAATACGTTGCTCGCAGTCGGGAGCGCGAGATTAGGCTCGCGACTAGCGGACAAGCGCGTCGATTATGATTGTTAAAGGGTTCAGAACGAGTTCGAAAATTACTCGCGCCTCGAAACGACGGCGGAAAACAAGTGAACATTTTAATGATTTCAGTGTTTGCGGCTATAAGAAAACAGCGGGAATTATGCTTTAAATGTCGCACATTTAAATTTGTCACGGCATCGCTTCCAATAATATTTTTCAAGCAGGCTTGACTAATTTCTCACGCGTTTTCTTCAACTCTTTCTGCTTCCAAAAAATGATCTGTTTTAAAGGCTGCAACCAATCGCACCGTATTTTCGAGTTTCCAAACCGCGATTCAAGACCCGGCGCAAACGTCCGATCACTCTTCTCGTCCAGCGCTTTACGACTCGAAACGAGCAACGAGTAATTAACGATCATCCGTTAACGAAGCTGTTCGCAGCAGGACGATGCGCGCCGCGTAAGACGATCCACGCAGATCGAGAGTTGGGAGCTGGATCGTTAGACAACTATTTCGCCGGTCGACTGACAGTAATCCCGAATCATTAGGGAGCTTCTGGTTGGCAACAATGCAGTCCCCCCGGGGGAGTAGGCTTTTGTGCAACGATCGGCTTTTGTGCCGTCGAATCAACAGGAAATTGGGATTTCTTTGATAGGAGCGCCGCCGAGCAGCGACTTTGAAGGTTGATCGTTACTCGAAGACGATGCCGACGGTGGTGAGCCCGTCCTGGACCCGTTCTATCGTCCTCCGCGTGGATACAAAGCCTGTCGACGGCTAAGCTCGGCGCCAGACCCACGCTTCGGACCCAAAATGTTGGCCGATCGAGTTGTCGCGACGCGAACGCGTCGTATGCAGTACCTTCGTAGACGATTGCAAGCCTCTGTTACATCGTTGCTCGAACCTATGTTAATCCCAAAAATGCCGGACAGGTGAAAATAAAATCCTAATTAGGGTCGGAAGCTCCTAAGACAGAAGCTCATAAGTTGGAAGCTCATAATTCAGCTCATGATTCTGAGAAGATCACAAGACGAACGTGTCGATGCGTTTATAAATAATTGTATTGCAATTATTACCATGTAAATTATTGAAATTATTACTACTTGCGATTATTGCTCTATTACATTGTCGTTAATATTTACTGTTAACCCAAAGATCATCATGCGAGTGAAAGTAAAGTGTCTGTTCGTCGATCGCGAAAATATTCGAACACTTTTTAACGTATATACAGAGTGTCCCAAAAATGTCTCGCAATCCGAAAGTGGCGGGTTCCTCAGGTGATTCGAAGCAACTTTTTCCTTTACAAAAATTGTCTCCGAGGCACCGTTAACGAGTTATCAACGAAAAACAATGACCAATGAGAGGCGAGCCAATGAGCGGAACTAGGCTTCGTGCGCTGGTTGGCTGGGCCGCCTCGCGTCAGCCGTACTCGATTCTTATTGGTCATTGTTTTTCGTTAATAACTCGTTAACGATGCCTCGTAGAACATTTTTGTAAAGGAAGAAGCTTCAAATGATCCGAGGAACCCGCCATATCCGGATTGCGAGACATTTTTGGGACAGCCTATATAACAAGCTTTATAATATTGTAGAAAATAAATAACCTGATCTTTTTGTTTAAATACAAGAGGTTCCGCTGAACAATCGCCGAAGAAACTTATTCCAAAAATTACAATTAACTAGAGCGATACAAGAAATTAAGGAAACGCTGTTTTTTCCAGCTGTTCCGTTCGAGCTCGTGACACATGTCCTGCTCTCAACTTGCTATCGAACATCTGTCAGCTTTATCCGATCATTGTGTCCGACGTGTTCATTTTTATCCGATTATCTCGCTACCATTGCCGAGCCTTGTCGAGAGACAGGCACCGCGAATTAATAATTTCCCGGCTCGGTTGGATCGACGCAGCGGTTCGAGCGCGAATCGTTCGACTCGGAGCCTTCGACGTCGAAATCCCCGATCGTTCCGCGACACCGGAATCCCCGAATGGTCTTGCACAATCGCGGGGACGTTTTTTAAAGCATGGAGCATCATAGATCGGGCATGGATCTCGGGAAATCTTCCGATCGACAGCGATCGAGTCGGGCGTGCCGGCGCGGCGCGGCGCGTCGGTACGAGCGATCGGGAAGGGATAAGGGATTACCAGCTGGCAGCCGGTGCCACGGCAGAGATTAGGGCGTGCTAGGGACTTTATCCTAAGGGGAACAGTGATCAGCGAGGCGCGCGCCTTATCTCGCGTGTGAAAGCAACGCCTGGCGGGAACGCGCCGCTGGAAGAGCATAAGATTATGGAGACATGGATGAGGATCGATGACAGCGTCCCGGTGCAATTACTCTATTGAGTTGTCAGCGTCGATTTATTACTGGAGCGTGGCCGGGCATCTGGCATTGCTAATGAGACCGTCCCTAGGACATTTATTAATACGTTTCCCCTGCTGGAGCAAAAATTGCTGTCGTTGAATCGATAAAAAGCTGACGAACCAAGTCGAAGACCTCCGTTCGGATCGTAAAATACTGTCCTCCGAATTTACGAAGCACGGCGATTTCTTCCAGAAATGCTTGGAGGTCGGAACTGAGACCGGCAGATCCGAGAATACCGAGTCGCGATTCTTCGAGACAGTTTTATAGATTTCTACGCGATTCGAAGGCAATTCGGAGATAATTCGAAGGCAATTCGAAGAAAATTCGAAGGCAATTTGAAGACAATTCGGAGGCAATTCAGAGGAAATTCGAAGGCAATTCGGAGGCCATATGACGCGATTCGAAGACAATTCGGAGACAATTCAAAGGCAATTCGGAGGCAACATGCTACGATTTGAAGGCATTTCGAAGGCAATTCAGAGGCAATTTGGAGGAAATTCAAAGAAATTCGAAGGCAATTCGGAGGCTATATGACGCGATTCGAAGACAATTCGGAGACAATTCGAAGGCAATTCGGAGGCAATTCGAAGGCAATTCGGAGGCCACATGCCACGATTCGAAGGCAATTCGGAGGCAATTCAGGGACCACATGCCACGTTTCGAAGGCAACTCAGAGGCCACGTGCCACGATTCCTCGGAGATTGGTCACGTATCTTGCAGCTCCGCGGTTTTTTTTATCCGACTTACAACCAAAACAGACCATTTTGCGTTGTCTTCGTAGCACAGGGAAATTCACAGCAATCCGAAATTTGGCATTTCCGGAAGAAATTACTGCACGTCGGCTCATTTCGCCGATGAAAGATCGAAAAATTATCCGTTCTCGGTATAAATTCGATAATTTACTCTAAAAAAACATGTATTTTCTACCTTCTATTCTCCTTTCATATAAAAGCAGAATTTAAACAAAAAGCATACCAGTTTTTGCACCATAAACTAGTCCCTTTAACAATGAGAACAAGATTCAAGCAACATAGACCGGTCTGAAAAAAGTTACCGTACTTTAAAAGGTGGTCGAATACTTTTTTAACCAAGACTCGTGAGCGCGCTGTTGACATAGAGAACCTTCGATCGAAAAGGAGAAGGCTTCAAATATAATTCGTCGCGGATCCGCAGGAAAATTCCGGGAAATTTATGATTAATAGCCCGCGGATCGACGGCAGAGGCGCGCGATCTTTTCATCTCGCCGAAGCATGCAATGTCCCGAGAACATTTCCGGCTTGTTTGCCCGTTTGCCGGCGGGTTCTCCGGATAAATAGAAATAAAAAAAAAGCGCGCCGCGAGATCCGGGCGAGGCTCTTAATTGGCGGGTTAACCGGTCTTCCTGGGTCAGCGGGTCAAGTAGCAATTTATATTCTCCCGCCGAAGATACGGATCCGCCGATCAGTTCTCTCTCTCTCTCTCTCTCCCTCTCTTCAACGAGCATGTGCTTCCGGTTTGTTCCAGGGAGTGTTCTATGTTCCTGCGTGTATTCCTGATCAAAGTAGACCGTACGATTGATCCCGGACATTCGAGGGTGTATCTCGGGCGTATCGATAGCTCGAGCCAGGAACCAAGCACAGGAAAAGTGTCCTCGACTGGAGGAGAGCGCAAGTACTCGGCATGAAGGGTGAGTCCTTTGAAGGCTTTCTTTCTCTATCTTTCTCTGTCTCTCTTTCTCTTTCTCTCTCGCTCTCGCTCTCTTATTTTCCTTTCTCCGCGCGCGCGTCCGCGTATCGGGGTTGCAACGCTCGCCGGCGACTGTCCCCGACCGTCCTTTTTAACTCCGGCTCGTGAATTAAAACCACGGGCAAGCCGTATATACCTCGAAAGAGCATCACGATGATCGTCGGTGCAGCTCCGCTCGTCGGAGAACGCGCCCCGACGATTCTTCCCCGTCGAACCCGGCAACCGGCCCTGCATCGGTTCCATTATGGTTCTTCCATCGATCCGTCTTCGTCCCGAGCATTTATTTTTGCTACGGACACACGATATAACCGCGGATCCCCAGCTTCGTCCCAGCTTTCGAGCAACGAAATTGTTCGGCGAACTCCTCGGGGTCGTTGCTTTCGCGATTATCAGACCGCGGCGTACTCTGTTTCGTACACGCTTATTGGCAACTACTTCGGGAAATTGTGTTATTCTCGTTTCATCGGGGCCACTCGAAGGAAGAGATGCACGCTTTTAATCGCGGTAAATTCTCTGTAATTTAAACTTCGGATTGTACGCAAAAGTTGATTGTTTGTTCGATGTAAGAAATTAGATAGAAGTAGAAGTAATAAGTAATAAGTAATAATAAATATAAGATAGTAAATATAATATAGTAATAAATATAAGATAGCAAATATAATATAGTAATAAATAATAATAATAATAAAGTAATAAGTAGAAGTTTGGGATGAGGAGATGCGACTATTCGAGCCTTGCGCCTAGTTTTTATAATTGCCGGCGATCGGTAGCTATAGAAACGAGCCGCGAGGCTCGAATAATCGAGCCAGAAAGAAAAACCTCTTCCGAAATTGTATATTTTTGTTTAGAAGCTGAAGGAAAATTCGGGAGAATTTAACCGTAATTTCTATCTTTCGCGATCGATGCTGACAATAGAAAGTTAGACAGATTTCCTTAAGAACAGAGAATACATTAAATAAGTAAACCATAACAATTACGTAAATCATAATAATCATTATAAATTGAATCTTACGTTTACAGAAAAATATTTCCAAATATTTTCATAATCGTAGAAATCGCCGCAGTTTGACGAAGAAGAAGCTTTGCTTTCGTCCAAAAAAATCAGCGTTAAATGCTCGCGAAAAATTAGGAAAAAAGTATCGACGTATCGATAAAATTATGCGCCGCATTGTAGAATATTCCGTGCATTTCACTGTATTTTTTTTTTATACGATTGAGATGTCTTAAACGTTACCTCCGATCGCCAAATATCGCGTTAACGCATTCAACGCACTCGAATCCTTAAGAAAATCGAAAGAAAAAAAAACGTATCAATTTGTTCGAACGGCGGATCTCTCTTCGATAAAGAGCGTTGTCGCTCGACGACGATTTCGGAGACAAAGATCGCGATTCGTTAACAATTAAAACCCGGACAATGTCGCGGACAACGTCGCGGATTGTTTCCGGTGGCTGGAGCACGGTCGTTCGGTTTTCGGCGAAACAGCTTTGGAAAGCGGCGGAGCATGCGTGGGCCGGTCGATCGCATCGATTTCCCTGGTCAAACAAAGCGGTCAATGGAAAACACCGGTCCGCCCGGTCGTTTTCGGCTGGTTCCGCACGCGAAATGGATCATCGTCCGCTTTGAACTTTGCCCGCGATATCCCGCGATCAGCGAACCCGCGTAAAAACGAGACCCTAACGAACTGCTGCTCTCCCCCTTCGTCTCCCCCCTCGCCGAAGGGTCGTTGCTCCAGGAAGGGGCCAGCCATACCGAGGCAGGCAACGCTCTCGAACTCTCGGTGATCCGGCCTCCGCTTAAAAACTTCATCGATCCTTTATCTCCTCGAAGTGGCCGCCGCGTTATCTTTTAATCGGTCGACCTACATCCCGGCCAGGAAACGAGGAGAAAGATGCGGCGGACCGGGTCGGAAAGTGTCCTCCGCCGTTGGTTTCCCGCTTTCGAGATTGCGCGGACCGCTTCCGCTACGACGAAAATAATTGTTACGCCAATGTTCGTGTGCCAGAGAGATTCGGAAACGAACCGCGGCACGGCGAATGTTCGTTAGCCGGCGCCAAACGCTGTCAAGGGACGACGCGATTTTTCTGAGGGAAAATGATGGAGTTTAGGGCGCAGTTTCCCATGCTGGTGCGATCAGGTTGATGGATTTGGACACGATTTCCGTAATTATGTTCACCCTTTGCACTCGACGCTTTTAACACTAAATATACCGCCCTCAAAGTGACCGCTTTCTTATTTTGCAATTCTGCGAAGTTCTGATTTTTCTAAGGGAAAATGGAGTTTAGGGCGCAGTTTCCATGCTGGTGCGATCAGGTTGATGGATTTGGGCACCGTGTAGATCTTGCGATCTACAGGGTGTCCGTAATTATGTTAACCCTTTGCACTCGACGCTTTTAACACTAAACCTACAAGCGGTCAAAGTGACCGCTTTCTTATTTTGCAATTCTGCGAAGTTCCGATTTTTCTAAGGGAAAATGGAGTTTAGGGCGNTCGTTAGCCGGCGCCAAACGCTGTCAAGGGACGACGCGATTTTTCTGAGGGAAAATGATGGAGTTTAGGGCGCAGTTTCCCATGCTGGTGCGATCAGGTTGATGGATTTGGACACGATTTCCGTAATTATGTTCACCCTTTGCACTCGACGCTTTTAACACTAAATATACCGCCCTCAAAGTGACCGCTTTCTTATTTTGCAATTCTGCGAAGTTCTGATTTTTCTAAGGGAAAATGGAGTTTAGGGCGTATTTCTTGCATTTATGATAAAATTATTTGGAACTTAAAATAGCAGGAAGATCGAAAGAATTTCGTATTGTTATCAATCTATTACAATCGTCAAAGAACTTGCTACTTGGTTTACATAACTTGGAATTGTTGCAGAGAATTTTCACTTCGCGCGAAGCCTCGCAGTCTAACAACAAATCTTCGCGTCTTCGGTTAACATCGCATTGCAGTATTTTACAAACAAATAACCATCCTTTCGACGAAAAGAATCCGAGGAAACGAGGACAAACGTCCTCGAATATCGACAATACTCGAAGATCGCCGATAATACTAATAAAAGAAAGCAGCGTGGAATTAAAGCGTCGAACGATGAAAATGGCGTTAACCGAGTAGAAGAATCGCGGATTTCCGTGGCGAGCTCGACGGGCCGGATCTCCCCTAAACAAGGAACGCCGGTGGACACACGGGCTAGCGCGAATCGATGCTAATAGCACGGTAATTACGTCACGTTTCGCTGGGAACGTCGAAACGAGCGTGATCGCCGGCTCGCTCATTTTCTAATGAGCCCGGTTTCCCGTAGGAACGGCCGGTAATTATCCTGGAGCACGCGTTAAAAGCCCGGCTGGGGACTTTCTTTCGTAACAATCGGAAACAACGAGCGTCGCTGAAATGTGGAGCGAGAGAGCGACGGTTGCGTGCGAGCAATCTGCGTGTTCCGTCGATCTGGGTCGCCGGAATCACTGGAAACGTAATTCCAGGATACGCGCGCGTTCGACGCCCTTTCCAACCCGCGCGTGTAACTCCGCCGCCGCCGCCATTTCCTCCCCGACCGACCTCCTTTTTTTCTAATCGCTCTAATGAAACAACACCGATTCTCTTTCTCTACCGCCCCCTTTTCGCGACCGTTCTTTCTTTCTCTCCAGGCGTGGCTTCGCGGGAGACGCGACGCGACGCGACGTCGGCGACGGCGACGGCGACGGCGACGGCACCGGCTTCCTCCGTTTTCTTTGTTGGACGAACCCGGCGAAACCGTTTCCCGGGTCTAACCTAACCTAGATACGGCTCGCCGCGGAACGGGAATAACCCAGATTCCATTCTTCCTGGAAACAGGATACCCCGGGTGTGCCGGTTTTTTCTAAGGTACAATTCATCTGGGTTCACAATTCGTTGGATACGGTTCATCGTTGGCCGCGGCTCCCTTCCCCCCTCGATCCCACCCCGACGAGGGTTCCCGGACTCCCCAGGCTCAATTTATACGAAGACGAGGCTCCCGATTCAATGAAGATAACAACGAGCCTTTTTTCTCCGGTGTAAAGAGGGGCGAGCTTCAATTTCTGTTCCGATGTCACTTTTTTTTTTATTTTAGCCGCGATTGCATCTTATAGCCTTCGATTATTTATTCATTTAGCCTCGATTTTAATCTTCAATGTATTGGGTTGGCGACTAAGTAATTGCCGATTTCAGTTGTAGATGTCTCTCACTCCCATTTTTATGATATCCGTAAATGTTATATTATAAAATTATTATTATTATTATTATGTTATTTTTTATTATCCGCGAATGTTAGCAACTGGACAAATTGAATGCAGCGGTCAAGGAAAAGCGAGCAGAATTGGTCGATCGTAAAGGTGTCATTTTCCAGCAGGACAATGCTAGGCAGCACGCGTCTTTGTCCACTCGGCAAAAATTGATGGACATTGGTCGGGAATCGATGTTACACCCACCGTATAGCCCTGATCTCGCGCCATCGGATTACGACTTATTTCGATCCCTGGACAACTCCCTTCGTGGTAAAACTTTTAACGACGACGACGCTGTAAAATCTCACTTAACTCAGTTTTTGGCCGAAAAGGATCGGACTTTCTACGAGCGTGGAATTTTCAAGTTGTCGGAGAGATGGCGAAAGGTCATCGAACAAAATGGAAAATACATTACAGATTAAACTTCGTTCCGAGTAAAAAAAAATTTTTTATTTCATTCAACAAATCGGCAATTATTTAGTTGCGAGCCCAATACTTTGCTCCAACCGCGACATCGCCCTGAAAATGGAATTTAACCCTGACTGTAATTCGTCGGTGACGTAACTTTTCTGGATTGAATTTCTCACTAAATATTTTCGGTGGCTGGAGGATACAGGGTCAGCTTTCTTCGCGATAAAGCGTCCAGATCTTCGGTTATTCGTCACTGTTCCTAGGCCCTAGGGATTTGTTCCTAGGCGAAGCTGT